CATTTAGTGTCTGTAGAAGCCAAGGTTTGGTAGCAATTGCACATGACTTTTTTCTTTTTCCTTCGTTCTGAGACAGGATGTCACTATATATCCCTGACTGACCTGTTTGTCTGTATTACATGCCTTTTCCGTGATCGTTACCACTTACTTGGTTTTCATGAAAATTTGAATTTCTAATAAATTGCAAACTAATCTGAGCCCACAAGATTTCAGATGAATCCCTTCAGTCAGGTGTAGGAAGCATTCTGCTGAAGTCCCAGTGCCTAGAGACAGGCACAAAGGTGGTGGAAAGTGTGTAGTAGCTTTGGCTTTAGGATATGCCTTTATTGGGGCTAGGCAGATGTCTCCTAGGTTAAGAGCACTGCTGCTCTTGCAGAGGACACGGGTTCAGTTACCAGCACCCATGTGGTCAGTTTCCCATACTCACGTGGTAGCTTACAATAATGTAGAATTCCAGTCCCAGGGCATCTGCCATATCTGGCTTCTGTGGGTACCTCAGGCACATGGTGCACTAACATACATGCAGACAAACACTTGTACACATAAAAGTAAATCTTTTTTAAGATTTATTTTTAATTATGTATGTGTGTATGTGTATATGCAACAAGTGCAGGTGCCCACAGAGGCTAGAGAAGGGTGTCCGATCCCCTGAAGCTGGAGTCACAGGTGATTGTGAGTACAGGCAAGTGGCTGTTAACTGCTGGGAACCAAATATAGGGCCTCAAGAAGAGCAGTATGCACTCTGAACTGTTTAAAGTATTTGTAGTTCTAAAACTGCCGTGATTTCTTTTTCTTTCCCCCACCCTCCTCCTTTTATTCTCCTTTTTTTTTTTTTTTCCTTTTTTTCTCTTCTTGCTCTGGGTCTTACTGGATATCCCAAGCTTACTTGGAATTTACACTGTAAGGAAAACTGGCTGTAAACTCATGGCAATCCCCCAGCTTCAGCCTTTCTAGATTATAGGCTATACTTACCTACAATGCTGCAGAGTTACCTTTACACAGCTGTTACCTTTACACATCTGAGCTAAGGCTCACAGCTCTTTGAATCAACATGTGCTGCTATAGAATTAAGATCTTTTTAATAATAGCAGGGTAAGTCTAAGCACATACAAACAATGGGGACAGGTTTTTTTCATGAAACGTTTGTATAGTTTAGCCATGTATGATAAAGGACTAAAGACCCCGATGTAAACACGGGTTGGACTTTGCCACTATGTGAGTATTGTGCCACATTTGCAAGAACAAAAGTTAAAGAATGCCTTGCAGGTCAAAGTTGTAGGCTTTGACTTTATAATCTACTACTTCAGTTTAGCATTTACTAGCACAAGTATTTCATACGTGGCGGTGATCTCAAATAATTATATTTGATAATGCGATATTTTAGGTTTAAGTATACCTAGATTCATTACATTTCTTTCCTAATTCTGTGTGGAAAAATAATGTTCCAAATTTTATGGTTGTAATTGGCACTGAATCAATGACATTTTATTTATTTATTCCTTTTGGAGTGGTGTTTGAGACAGGGTCTCAGGTATTCCGGGCTTGCATCAAACTGGCTCTAAAGCTGTTGCTTATTGTGAACTCCTGATCTCTGGTGTGAGCCATCACTTCCAGCTTAAATGTCCTTTGGTGTGCATCCTTTGTTCATGCTGAGTAAGTTCTTGGGGCAGACCAAAGGCCATTAGAGACTTTATGGGGATAGTGTTTCTGACTTGCTAAGAGTTTTGTGTGTGTTTCTAATGCCGCTGGGATGTGTACTGTTTTCTGTAAACCTCAAACAATAGGGTGGTATAAGTATTTACTTGTAAGGGAAGGAAGGGTGCTGCTTCAGATAGTACTCATGTACTCGTGAGGGTATTCTGACTTTCATATATCTTATCTTTGTAAGATTACTAGTCCTAATGCTTTTTATGTAGTTGAATTTTTACTGTCGACTTGTACATGGGTTTCTTTTCTTTTTTTATTGTTGTTCTTTGAGGCAAGGCTCACATAATCCAGACTGACCTTGAACTGGTCTTCAGGCTGCACCTCCATTTCCCAAGTGCCAGGATCCCAGACTGTGCCACCGGTCGGCTTCTTTTATCTCTGTCTAGATTCTCTATTGAAGAATGAACTCTTTCACCTGTATGGGAAGGAGGAACCAGGAGAGCTTAGCAGTTAAAAATGTTTAACTCTGTCCAAAGGATCACTGTGGATGTAACTAGAGAGGTACCGAAAGCTGTGTACTCAAAGTTGGTATTGAAACTGCTACACAGTAGCTCATTCGTTTCATGTCAGCGCCTAGGAGGCCGAGAAGTCCTGCTGTAAGTTCTGAGCCAGTTCTGGTTAGTCACTGAAACTCGGCCTCAAAAGAAAGAAAGGAGAGGGGGGGAGTATTAAAACTGTTTGTTAAAAAGTGAGAAATCCTGCCTCAAGAAGAAGAGGAAGGAAGGAAGGAAGGAAGGAAGGAAGGAAGGAAGGAAGGAAGG